AGGAACATAAAAAATATAGTAAAAAAGTAGCAAAAAGCGAAATTCATACTTGAATTTCTAGGTTAAAATTTGACCTAGAATATTTTAATATTACTCTCATGTCAGCGGCAAAATCTCATTGAATTACATCAGAAAGGATGGCAGCAACAATACTGAGTGATGAAGAAGAAGAAAAAGAAGAAGAAGAAGAGGAAAAAGAAAAAGAAGAGAAAAAAAAATCTCAAGTTCCCTTTAGATCTTGGCAAAGCTCGTAGGTTTTGAAAGATTATTGCAGTCTTGTTTTTTCGTCCGGAATCTAAAGTTGTATAAGATCTGGTTGAGTTTCCTCTATATCCACCTGTCGATTCCACCAATCCATATATAGCATTATATAGTTGTAGTAGGGCACTCCCCCCCCTCTCTCTCTCTCTCTCTCGTTGCTATCATTTTATCAAATCTCATGTGTCGTACAGGACGACCTCAAGTAGACCCTCGATTTTCCTCCGAGTCATACAATTTTTTTTTTATTTCCCGACCTCCGCACACATGTTCATATAAATTGTATATAAATTGTCCTTCTTTCATACATGTTTTTTTCAACTTTATCGAGGGAAAAAAATCAAAATGACTTTCGTGAGAAGGAATAAATACTTCAAATTGATAAGATTTTAGTTTTACATTCAAGAGATGATCCATTTCAGATGACACAGTTTGACCATCAATTTAACTTGAAAAGAAGATCCAATAGTGCGATTAAAAAAAAATCCCATTCAGTCTATTTATCATTTTTTTTCCAAATAACCTACACATTTTCTTACGTGTGTCTTTTTTCAGAAAAAAATATTTATCTTCAATATTTCTCTGATATTTTTTTTATGTCAACGATTATGTCTCTCGTACACATATCGATAATAAATATTTCCGCAGAAATCATTTTTCTTCGTAACTGAAAATGTAATTTTATTTCTATTTAGCAAATATTTAAAATAGTAATACTGACATTCTTGTCAATTTTATAGAATGTTTGTTCGAAATCATTTTGTGTACGTAACTTTTTTTACATTTCTCATTTTTTTTACCTACACTTTACTATTTTCTAAAGTTCCTTTATCTTACTTTTAAGAATTAATAATAATTATTTACTATTTATTGATTATAAACATAAACTTAAAAAATTATTAATATTAATAAATTTAAATTGTACTTTTAGAAAAATAATTAGTTTCTCTTTATAGTGACGCAAAATTATTCATATAAATAAATATCGTTCATTTGAAAAATTCAGAATTTTTAGATCATAATTAATATTACAAATATTAATTAAACTTTAGTTGCAATTTACAATTTGGTAAATAAAATATAAAAATTTGAAATTAATTAATTTTAGCTTTTCGTGTATAGAAAAGAATTTGATATGCAGAGAATGCGCAAATTATTCGCGAACATAATTTTTTTCTATATATTCTAAAATAAAGTATCAAATTGTATTAAAATTCCATCCTTTCGGAATTCCAATTTCAATACGACAACTCATAAATTTCGACTGTCATCTTTATGGCAGTTTATTACAATTTTCCAGCTGACATTTTTCACATAGTAAATTGATATTCTCCTACCCTAGTCCATAAAATCTTGTTCTACAATAATGGAAAGTTATTGCTTTATTTTATTTACAAAAATAAAATAAAAAAAATATTTATATTTCCTATTTCCATATTTGTCTCACTTTCGAAAACCATTTTTTCAAAATTAATTTTTCTTCCCTTAAAAAGCATTTCTCTTTAAATCAATTGTGGTTAATAGGATCTATAATTTTCCCAAAAAATTAATTAATTCTTAAAATAGAAAAACTGACAAATTTATTTCAAAATGTCCTTTTCAATAAATTTTTTAAGGAAATAAAAAAAATTTTTAGGAACCGTTTAACTCTGGGTTAAATAATTGTAACATCACTTTTGTACAAAATGCCCTAAAGGTCAATAAAAAATGTATGCCAGCATCTGCGGTTTCACTAAAGTATATAGCATATAACAAAGTGTACAATACACATACACATATTCAGGTATGACCTTGCAGGAAAATATTTCCCTGATGAATATCATTTTAAATATTTTATAATCCCAAAAAGCTGCATCTACTCGCACGGCTTCTGCATAAATTTCACTGTTTTACCAAAGATTTTTTTATTAACTCACTTGCATTCTTATTTTAAAATATATAGTAAACGACAATTTATTTTCAACAAATTTTATTTTTGAATACATAAAATCCACAAAAATGGATGAGTAAAAAAGGGATTTTAAAATTTATATTTAAGACATTTTTTCTAGGAAAATAATAATTAACTAATTATATTAACTATTAGTTTTATAATATTAAGAATTGTTTTTTGATAATTAAATTATTTCTAAAAATTTACGCTTCAATGTTTTTAATGTTCAATTATTATCTGAAATTTTAACTGAAATCCATTTTTTAATCAATATTTGTTAGAAAATATTCTACGAGAATTCAATTATTTATTTATTTTTTTATTTTACAATCAATTAAATACAAAAATAAATTATTTATTTAATAATTGAATGTTTCAAAATTCGCAAAATAATTCAATTACTTAAAAAAAATGTAGTTAATATAATAAGTTGTAAGAATTTAATTATTTTCATAAATAATAATATTCTTCACAAGATTTCAATTATTTAAAAAAAATTTAATTAATTTTAACATTCGTTGCAAGATTTCAATTATTTTCCTAAATAATAAAATTCCTCACTGGATTTCAATTATTTTTAATACAATTTAAAGTAAATTCTCCGAAAAACATAATTAATTTGAAAAATTTTATTAAAATTCTTCAAAAGAAATAAATAAACAATTATCAATTATTTTTAATAATTTTTGCATAAGTTTCTAAAGAATTTTCAAATTCATTTGTTTCCTATTCAATTTTACGAAATTTTGATTATTCAGAAATTCTTCAATTAGATACTTATTAAGAAAAATAAAAACTTGAATTAATTTTAAAAAAATTCAATTTAACTTTTTCAAAATACAATTATTTCTAAAAATTGATGCTATAATAGTTTTAATATTTAATTATTATCGAAAATTTTAACTGAAATTCATTTTTAAAACAATTTTTATTAGAAAATTCTACGAAAATTCAATTATTTTAAAATTTAAATGCAAAAATGAGAAAATTATTGAATAAATGAATGATTCTCAAAATTAAATTTTCATTAAAGAATTTTATAAACAAATTTTTAAATAATTGAATTCTTTCGACGAATTTTAATAAAATTTTTAAGAAAAATTACATTTTTTTCGAGGAATTTTATTAAAATTAAATTAAAAATAATTGAAATTCTGTGATGAGTTTTATTATTTATGAAAATAATTGAATTCCTAAAAAATAATTTTATTATTTACAAAAATAATTGAATCTCTGTAAAAAAAATTGTATAGAATAGGAAAATAATGGAATTATTACGAAGAAATTTATAACAAATTAGTAAGTAATTGCAATCTTTATAAATAATTGAATTCCTGTGATATTTTTATTATTTATGAAAATAATTAAATTTTTCGTAAAATTTTATCAAAATTTGTTTTAAATAATTGAATTCATTTGCAAAATTCTATAATATTAAAATAGTAGATATTGAAAATATGTAATTAAATTTTGGAGAAGAATTTTATTATTTATAAAGATAATTGAAATTTTGACGAAATGTTTTTTAATCTTTTCAAAATGGAATTATCATAAAGAATTTTATAAACAAATTTAAAAAAATTGAATTTTTTCGACGAATTTTAATAAAATTTTCAAGAAAAATTACTTTTTTCGGGGAATTTGATTAAAATTGTATTTCTTTGATTGAACTTGAAATTCTTTGATGGGTTTTATTATTTATGAAAATAATTAAATGTCTGTAAAAAATTGCATTATTTATGCAAATAATTGAATTATTGAGAAGAAATTTATAAAAAAAATTCGTAAATAGTTGAATTCCTGTGGAATTTTTATTATTTATCAAAAAATAATTTAACGTTTGCTTAGAATTTTATCAACACTTTTTTAAATAATTGAATTCGTTTGAAAAATTTTATTAAAACAGTAGATATTGAAAATAATTGAAACTCTGCCAAGAATTTTATAAAAATTTTGTGAAAATAATTTAAATTCTACAATGAGTTTTATTATTTATGAAAATAATTGGATTCCTAAAAATAATTTTATTATTTATGAAAATAATTGAAAATAGAATTGAATTGAAAATTGTATTTTTAATTAAATTGAAGAATTTTATAAAAAAAATTGAAAATAATTGAAATTTCGCCAAGAATTTAATTCAAATTTTTGAAAATAATTGAATTTTAAAGAATAATTTTTTTATTTAAAATTATAATTGGAATTTTGTCTAGATTTTTTTGGTAAATTTTGAACATATTTAAATTTTGTGATATTCAATTTGTTTAGTGTTTTTAACTGAAACTCTTCTACAAAACAATTATTTTTAATAAATAATTAAATATATATATATTAAAAAATTGAACTAATTTCAGAAGAATTTGAATTATTACAATTTTTCAAAAATCTATGTTCTTTAAAATTTCTAATTAAATTCATTGAAAAATTGAAGTTTTATAAAAATTCAAAGTAATACCTTTTAAAGTTTATCTATTTATGAATGAAGTTATTTAATTAGAAATTATTGTCAGAAATAGAAAAAATTGAAGGTTTCTTGTTAATTTTACAGTTTATGAGACAAACAAAAAAAATACAAAAATTCAGAATTTTCTCATAAATTCTAAAAATTTAATTTGAATTTAATTTTCCAGTACCTTAAATAAAAATCCCTGACTTTTCCCAAACCAATTCTACTTTCCCTGATTTTTTCCTGAATTCCCTAATTTCCTTGACCTGTGGCAACCCTGTGATTGTCGATTTTTCATCACTTGCCCCGCAAAATAAAGGTAAAAAAATATTGGATGATAAAATTTGACTTTTTCTGTTTCAGGGAGGGAGAGGGAGGAGGTCGGGGTGCTTCAGGGGGTGGTGGGGGCGGGGGTGGGAGGCGGGCACCCAGCCTTCGTCTCGTAAACGGAAGAGCAACAACGGGAGTAGGTTTACACACGAGCAGTACAGAGTCTGTTCGTTCACCCCATCACCATCTTGATCATCTTAATAACAATAACAATAATAACTTTCATAATTCCACCAATAATCATCCGCGACTGAATAAGGATGATAGCATCAAAATCAGCATCGAAAACACCAATACCTGCACCGACAGTCTCGTCACTGCTTTAGACGACGAGACTCTTCTTATTACCGACTTCCTCGCCGACACAAGTGAGTATTTATCATTCCCACATACAGTCAACTCTCGATAAGTCCATGTTCATTGGAATTCAATTTATCCAGAGTCGACTGTATTGAGATTCATTAGTTAATTACTTAGTTTTAAGTTAACTAACGAAATTAGTTGTTAACTAATTTCGAAACTTGATAACAATTATTTATTTATTTATTTATCCTCTTCGTACTTTTGCAGATATCAAATTGAGACAAAAAACGAATCAAAACGGCAACGTTTTGATTCGCTTTTTGTCTCAATTTGATATCTGCAGAAATACGAAGATAAATATAATTTTTACGATGCTGATTTTTTCAAAAAAAAAAAAACTTAATTTTCGATTTATAATAAGAAGGGAAATGAGGAAAAATAAAAATACTCTCAAAAGAAAAGAAAACAAATTTATCGAGAAATGTTAAAAATTAATGGACGTGAAAAATTCCAGTGCTTAAATAAATTCGACTAGAAAGTATGTCAACTTTAAAATTTAACGATCTATAAAAATTCGAGTTTGATAAAATTTCAATTTTAACACTTATATGACAATTTTTATACATTTTTATACGTAGCGATGAATATCATTTTTTGAATAATAATAACAATAGTGCCAAAGGAAATTTTTTCGATTTTATTTACTCTTTTTTCTTTTTAGTCACGATTTTATTAATTCTTTAAAATTTCGATTAAATAAACATTTTCGAATTTTATTCATTTGATCAAATCATTTTTTCGATTCAAAATCAAATATTTATTATTATTTTTTTCTATATATTCTTTGCTACGATAGAAATATAAATTTAAAAAGAATGATGATTATATATTGTAAAAAAAAAGAATTGAATCAAATTTCATTGCATTGAAATGATATGCGAATACAGCGCGCTCATTTTTTATCACAGTCTGAATATTTTATTTAGAATCGGTTTCGTGCCTTCCGCTTTGGCAATGCTTATAAAATCGACCCCGGCTTAAAATTGCACCAATCCAAAGCAAAATAATCGAGAAAATGTGAAGCTAACAATAATGATACTGGATGTAACGTAATTATTATTGTGTATGTTAACGATACGTACTTCCACGAAACACCCGCATTGTTGTTAATGTTTTCTCCAATGTACACATATACCAATTGATTCGAAAATTACTGCAAACAATAAGACCTTTCTTTTTTATGACCAATAATTAATAATAATAAAATAATTCTCTATTTTTTTATGCATATTCAATCTTTTGTTACTGTTATTATTATTTATTTTATTTTTTAAGGACTTTAGTACAATTTACTTGACAAAAATTATTATTAAATAAATAATTATTAAAACAAAATAAAAAATAAATTTAAAAAATATCTTTTGCTTTAAGAATAGTTTCGTACTTGCGAATTCTAAAAAATAAAAGGACATAAAAGAATTAGCATTAAAAAAAGAAATTTTTTACTCTGCTTTTTTTTAAATACAGTTGTAGCAAAGAAATTAATAATTTCCATCGCAAAATTATCAAAAAAGTAAAAAATAAATTTTCTTTTAAAAATATTGCAAGGTCTGTGTTTATCTGACGTCAGATTTTATTTAAACCTCATAAAATCTTTATTAAAGTTCTTAGAACACTTTTAGTATTTATTACGATCAGAAGAAGTGATTGGCTAATGTGTATATACACTTTCATTTCAAATACAATATCACAGTAACCCGTGTCTTTAAATATAATTTCCATTTGGCAAATGATTTATTTCAACAAACTAATATTATATTCTAATACATTTTTTCGAATTCAATTAATTTTCAAAATATAATTTTTCAATCAAAATTCAAATAAAAATTCATAATAAAGTATAAAAATAAAAAATTTTAAATATTAGTTCAACCAACAATGGTGAATAATTTTTTTTATACATTACTATAGAGAGAGAGAGAGAGAGAGACAGTCTCTAATGTCTGACATTATCAGGATGATTAATTAATCATACGTCAAAGATGAATTTTGATGACATACAAGAGATAATTTTGCTGATGCAGTTAATGGATTTGGCTCAGATTCCTCGAAGCTTGATTAACACTTTTCCAAAATGTCGCGAGCGCGCATCAATTTATAATTAACAATTACGTTTTAAAACAAAATTTATGAATTCTCTCCCTCCCCTCTAAAACTGCATAAAATTATAATAATGATATATAAATAGTTTTGATTCATTATCACCATTTTGCAGAATTTTAAATGAATACCAACTCGTAAAATTTAATTGTCAATTACAAACGTTCCTAATAGGGACAATTTCAATAAAATTGAAATAATTATACAAAATGTCCCCCCCCCCTCCTTCCCTCTCTCTCTCATCGATCTTGTACCTCAATTATAATCTGAACAATCAATTGTCTTCTTAATTGTACAAATAATATTATATACACGAATCGTTGCGCTTTATTTTAAAATCAATATTGCGAAAAAAAAATTAAACATAGAAATTTAATTAGTAATTATAATTTTCTCGTGAGACGAAATAATTATTCATTAATTATTATAATTATTATCAATTAGTCATTAATTATTGTAATTATTATCAGTTACTAATTTTATTTATTAATTATTCTTAATAAATTTATTTTATGTCCCTTTTTTTAATGTGCGAGTGTAAAAATATTCTAAAACAAACTTTTTTTATTTTCCATTGACAATTATTAAATAAAGATAGTGGAAAAGAGAAAAGTTGTTTTTTAAATTGTCGACGTATTTTTGAAAGAAAAAAGTAAAATAAAATTGTAAAGTTTTATACAGATTTTGCAATAAAAGGTTTTTTTTTTACTTTGTAGACTAAAATGCTCGACAAAAGGCTACATTCTTTGATCCCAAAAGAATTGCAAAAGTAATACCGCAACACAGACTCGTTCAGTAATTTACGACTTGTGTGTGTGGTGTGCAGTTCTTAGCTTTAAAAATGAGTGGTCGACTTTAGACCAGTAAATGATTTTTTTTAAATTCAAATATTAAACCGAAAAATAAAAATTCTTTTCTCTTCTTTTAAAATTATATTTAAATCTGTTAGTTGTAAGTCAATTTTAGTTTAAACTTTAAATCATTTTTAAAGCATATAATAATAATAGGAAAATATGTTGATAATTGTGAACTTTACGATGCACTTTACAGTCGATAATTTATAAATTAAATCGAAAAAATACCACAGGCACATGGTTTCAATCTAAAATAAGCAAATACTACAAAAATCATGAAAATATTACTTCAATTTTTCGAGAAATTTAGATGGAAAATTTTTGGGTACAATGTTAAAATTGGTAAAGTAGAAATCTACACTAAATTTCTTTTCAATATTATTGAAAGTAAAAAGTTGTGGCATCCAAATTTTGATCGAAACTTTGAGAAAAAATAATGACAAATAAAATGAAATATAAATAAAAATGCATACTAATGATTTGTTTTAGGCAACGACATGAATTACAAAGGAAGTGGTAAAGTCCATTTCGGGGTGGACGATGTCTCCCTGTATGGCACACCGAAGGAGGAGTTGGGTCCTGGACTTCCGGGTCAGGAAGTCAAACAGAGCTTCCTTAAAAACCAGTTACAGGCCCTTTTCCAACCGACGGATAACAAGCTTGCCATGAAACTCTTCGGCAGTAAGAAAGCTCTTATGAAAGAAAGGATCAGGCAAAAGGCTGCAGGTCACTGGGTTATACATCCTTGCTCTAGTTTTCGGTGAGTCTCTCTCTCTTTCTCTCTCTTTTTTTTTTTTGTTTTTTCCCTCCCCCAGCAGAAACACTTTCATATTGTACACCCGAATATTGTTTTGTTTACCAAAACGCCAATTGCAACATCAACGGAAATTTAATATTAAAATTCTCCCAATATTCCTCTACATTGCACAAATGCCAATTTCCCTGTGAATTATCATTTTTCAAAACAATTTTTTTGAAAACATTTCTCAGAAAACTTTATAATAGAAAATAAATAATTTAATATATAGTAAAAATATTTTCAAAAACACTACTCAAATTAACAATTTATTAATTAAATAATAAAATACTTTTAATTTTTATATTTGTACCAGCAGAGTTAGTCCCTCATTTTTTCATAGTTTAAAAATTTTTTTTTTCAATTCTTATATATTTGTATATAAAATGTAATTAAAATTGTAGAATATTTTTAAATGAAAAAAAGTTTATGAGAATAAAGTTAAATATAATAACTATAAGTTTATATACTAATTTAATTGGATTCAAAGGCGAACGAAGAAATCGTATAATAAAATAGTGAAAAGACAGTGTCTCATTCAGAATTTATAACTTTTCTCAAGAGAGAAAAAAACAAACTTCTCTTTTCTGTTTCATATTAAAAAAAAGTTGTGAGTACAACAATGGTTATTCTTTCATAGATTTCTTGATGAAAACTAATAATTGTATTACGTAGCAATCATAATGAAAACTGCATATATTCAATGAAATCGAGATCCAATATTTCTTCCCAAGTCCGAATTAAAAGTTTATCATTTTACTGAATTAATTTCATCTATATTGAAAAATAAACCCTTTTAAAAATTAAAAAAAAATAAATAAAAAAAAATAAAAAAATAAACCCTTAAAAATAAACCCTTTTATTAATTATTTCTTTAAACAATTTTTATTATTTTTACTACATCAAAGTTGCCAAAAAAAAAATTAATTTCCTTTTTCCCTGATTTCCAGGCAAACTTTTGAATTTTTCCTTGACCCTAAAAAATATTATAAAACATAAAGATATCGCTTACTCCGAGTCTTCGACTCGGAGTGATCGATATCTTCATGTTTTATAATAATTTAAATTTCCATAAAATTAAAAAAAAATAAATTATTTACAAAAATTTTAATAAAATCCATCACAAGAATTCAATTATTTTCATAAATAATACAAATTTTAATAGGATTTCAATTATTTTTAATATAATTTTAAATAAATTCCTCGAAAAATGTAATTATTTTCCAAAATTTTTTGCAAGAATTCAATTACATTTCACAAATACTGAAATTCTTCGCTGAAATTCAAATATTTTCAAAATCTGCTATTTTAATAAAATTTCTTAAAAGAATTCAAATATTTTTAAAAAATGTAATAAAATGCATTCCTAAAATTCAATTATTTTCATAAATTCAATTCTTTACAGGACTTCAATTATTTTAAAAAAAATGAATAAAAATTCGTTATAAGAATTTCATTATTTTCATCAATAATAAAATTCTTTACAAGACTTCAATTATTAAAAAAAACGATAAAAATTCTTTAGAAGAATTCAATTATTCTCCTAAATATAATAAAATTATTCACAGGATTTCAATTATTTTTAATACAATTTTAAGTAAATTCTTCGAAAAATGTAATTATTTTCAAAAACATTCAAAATTCAATTAATTTTGAAAATTCATGGTATAATGTTTTCAATATTCAATTATCTAAAATTTTAATTAAAATTCATTTTTAAATCAATTTTATTGAATAAATGAATGTTTTTCAAAATGGAATTATCATAAAGAATTTTATAAACAAATTTTTAAGTAATTGAATTTTTTCAACGAATTTTAATCAAATTTCCAAGAATAATTACATTTTTCGAGGAATTTGATTAAAAATGAATCAAAAATAATTTAAATTCTTTAATGAGTTGTATTATTCATGAAAATAATTAAATTTCTGTAAAAAATTTCATTATTTATGCAAATAATTGAATCATTGCGAAGAAATTTATAAAAAATTTTATAAATAGTTGAATTCTTGTGCAATTTTTATTATTTATGAAAAAATAATTTAATGTTTACTGCTTAGAATTTTATTAACACTAACTTTTTTAAATAATTGATTTTTTTTGAAAAATTTTATTAAAATAGTAGATATAGAAAATAATTGAAATTTTGAAAAGAATTTCATTAAAATTTTATGAAAATAATTTATAGAAAATAATAATAGTAATAATTAAATTCCTAACAAAAATTTATTATTTATGAAAATAATTAAATCTCTGAAAAGAATTATATAATTTATGAAAATAATGGAATTACTACTAAAAAAATTTTTTAACAAATTTGAAAATAATTGCTTTTTTGTAAATAATTGAATTCCTGTGATATTTTTATTATTTATAAAAATAATTAAATTTTTTCGTAGAATTTTATCAAAATTTGTTTTAAATAATTTAATTCTTTTGTGAAAATTTTATATTAAAATAGGAGATATTGAAAATAATTGAATTTCGGAGAAGAATTTTATTATTTATAAAGATAATTGAAATTTTAACGAGAATTTTTTTAAACTTTTGAACATAATTCCTAAAAAGAATTTTTTAATTTCCGAAAATAATTGAATCTTGTAAAAATTTTAATATTAATGAAAATAATTAAATTATTAAGAAGAAATTTATAAAAAATTTGTGAATAATTGAATTCCTGTGAAATTTTTAAATTTTTCCTTTGGAAAATCTTATTAAAATAGTAGATTTATGAAAAATCATTGAATTGAGGAAAATTTTTGAAAATAATTGAAATCTTTGAAATTTTGCCAAGAATTGTATTAAAATTTATGAAAATAATTGAATTTTGGAGTTGAATTTTATTATTTTTATTTATAAAGATAATTGAAATTTTGACGAGAATTTTTAAAAATTTTTGAAGATAATTGCATTTTTGTGAAGAATTTTATTACTTTTGAAAATAATTGAATTTCTACAATCATTTGTAACTTCTTCAAAATTCAATTTTTTCCAAATTCCAATACTTCCAGTAGTTAAAAATTAGTTACAACCTAAGAGGATAAACAAAAACTAAAAATTTAGGTAATATTATTAATTTTGATTTTGAAAAAAATGGAAAAAGAAAAATTTGAGGAGAATGAGAAGACGCGTTAAATGCGGGATAAATTGTATTGTTGAGAGGTTAAATCGGATAATTCGGACTTAAACGGCCGATCGTATCAAATGACCGGAATTGCCCGCTGTACTCGTAGCGCACGCCGCTTCATAATGCGCAAAGCACACTATCCATTCGCTCTTTGACGTTACAATTGGCTAAAATTGCCAGCAACTTCCTGTCAGAATCTTTGCTAATTAGCAACAGTTTCAAGTACGATAGGAAACTGCCTCATTTCCTCTCACCTTACACACCGTAACCTAGGATCTACTTCTTAGAAGCACTGATACTTCAATTTTATCTCTAATAAGATTCTGTGATCTTCCGCCATTGTAATTTTATATTATTTTCAAAATTTTACAAAATTCCTCTATACTGTTTCATTTATTTATTTACAATAAATTATAATTTTTAAAAAAAAGTACAATAATTTATAGCAAGAAATTTTCATTCCTGGTGGAAAGTGGTTAAAAATTTTATATGAGAATACTATCCCGCAAAATGGACCATAATGTACTTTTAAATTGCGAAAAAACCGTCTTTTTATTAGTATATGATCCAGCGCGTGTCTTCCTTCATATTGGAAAATGCATAAAGCGATAAAGTTCATGGTAAAGTCCTTTGATCTTAAGTGCTTTTTTTCGGTGGATTATCGACTTTCTTAAAAAACGAATAGCAATATGGGACAATAAATTTTTAATCTACACACTTCTCTTAATTTCTATCTCGCTGCGGGAGTAGTTTCATTTTTCTATATTCCAAACCTCGCACTCGATATAATTAATTTTAAAAAAGTAGCAAAAAGACTTTTTCCTAATTTTCATCAAAAATATTTACTTCTTTCTTATCCTGATGCTAATAAATTAAATTCCTGCAATTTTATTATTCATGCGAAAGAATTTAAATATTTATAAAAAAAATTTAATGCAAAGAATTTTATAAAACAATTTTAAATAATTGATTTCTTTCCACTAGTTTTATGCAAATTCTAATTTAAATAATTGAATTCCTAGGAAATTTTTATTATTCATGAAAAGAATTAAATTCTTCGAAGATTTTTATAAAAAAATGTTAAATAATTGAATTCTATTTGGTATTGCAAATCATTGAATTGCAAAAAGTTTTTTAAAGTAATTAAATTTTACAAAGAATTTTATTAAATTTTTTGAAAATAATTGAATTTTGGAGAAGAATTATATTTATAATTAAGATATAATTGAAATTATGACGAAAATTTTTAAAAATTTTAGAATATAATTGAATTCTTAAAAACCATTTCATTATTTATGAAAGTAATTGAATTCATGCAAATAATTTTAGTATATTTCTTTAAAATAATTGAATTTCCAAGAAGAAATTTGTTACTTTTAACAATAATTAAATTCTTGTGATAAAATAATTGAATTATTGCGAAAAATTCCATTATTTTTTGTAAATAATTGAATTCTTCAAAAGAATTAAAAAAAAACATTTTTTTTAATAAATGATTTTTTCAAGGAATTGAAATTAAATTTTTAAGAATAATTACATTTTTCGAGCAATTCCTGTAAAATTGTATTAAAAATAAATGAAATCCTGTGAAGAATTTTGCTTTTTATGAAAATATTCAATTCTTGCAAAAAATCTTATAAACATTGTTTTAAATCATTAATTTTGTCAAAATACAATAAATATTATAAAAATTTTATTTTAAATAATTAAATTCTTGTGGAAAAGTTTATTTATGAAAATAAATGAATTTTGTATGAATTTCATGCGAATTTTTTTTGCGAAATTCTATGAAAATACTAGATTTTGAAAATAATTGAATTTTTGGGAAAAATTTTA